CCTTGGGTCGGTCACGGCGGCCCTGTCCATTTACCTTCCAGATCAGCTGATTTGACCCTCTTGCCTTTTTTGTGGGGACGTATTAAATCATTAGTTTATTTTAGTGAGACAATAAGTACCGAGGACCTAAAAATAGGATAGTGAATGCTTTTGGAATAGTGAAAAATAACACTGAATTGCTTTCGAAATTAAAATATAATTTAAGGAAACAGTCATTAAAATTTATTGAACAAAGTGGTGGATATTTTGAAAGTGTATTAAAATACAACGTTGTATGAGAGTTTAGGCTATCAGTAAATTAAATATTTGGTTCTTAAAATTATTGTTTTTTTTTATAGGATCGGGTGACAAACGAGCACACAGTCCACCTGATTGCTGTGGTTGCTGTGGCCCATAGACATCTACATTTATCCTCGTTTGCGAATCAAAATGCAGATGCGTTGTCACCCGTGAGAAATAAGATGGAACGCCTCATTTCCAGTAAAAACGGTCTCCGGTTCTCTACACTCACCATACGAAACACAGCAGTGTCAAGCTGCTATTTTACGCTGGTACTCTGTGAGAGCGTGGTCCTTCCCCAGTCGAGCCGACCCATTCGTACTACAACTATACTACTAATATAGGTATAGCAACGTTTATTTAAAAAAAGAAAAAAAAAGCAAGGCTCTACCACGTATTAAATACCACGTAATCTTGATTCACATCTTTTAAACACGCCGTCTTTAAATTATGTTGTCGTATCGCCTCTTATTTTTAGCAGTTTATTATTATTTACAATTACAATTAAAATGTTATGCAAATTCATAACTTTTTGTAATGAATATTGTCTATTGACATTGTATCATAATCAATAAACAAAATTATTCAGAGTCGAAAGTCCAAAGCCTGAAAAGTGTGATGGAAAGATGCAATCAAATGTTTACTAGACTTAAATAAACAACTCGATGCTCGGAGTTCTGACATCTGTTAATGTTCATAGGTAGGTATTTCTTTAACGTAACCAATCGTATATTGTCGGCTGTTTTCGCAACTACCTACCTACAGTTGTGTCAAACGGCGGCGGCATTAACTCTTCTCAGACGCGAGCGAATACCTACTAGGCTAGCAAGACCCTCATATGACCTATACCTAGCGTTCGTGGATTTGTACTGTGACCACAACATTCTTCCGGTATTAATTTAATAAATAATAAATACATAAACATGTTTAACTAAGAAGTCAGTGTATATATTATGATTATATGTGATGATGATATCGTATCGATATTTAAGTTTTTTTTAGTTTAAAAAAAAGTTTATCCACACTAGGATTTTCTCCTGTGTCGTGGAGGCAGTTTACAAACACAAATTGCACGAGGACAAACATACCGACCCGGAACAATTATTTGTAGGCCATACAAATACTTGTTCCGTGTGGGATACGAACCCGCTGCCCCCAGCGCAACAACTAACGGATTTTTAACCAGCATCGATATATCCATCCATCCATTCATTTATTATAGCCTATTAAAATCTACTGCTGAACATAGGCCTCCCCCATAGATTGCCTCATAGGAGATTTTTGGTATCGTTGCCACGCTTGGCAGGTGGATTGACAATCGCCTTTTTTAATTATTTTGAATTGTTATCAGGAAGATGTTGCTTCGCATCACCTGTTTTGAGTAATGTAGTGGCGGTTTAAGACTATTCACTACCCCATTTCATCCCGTGGGTGTCGTAAGAAGCGACAGAGAGAAGTCGAATCAGGTCTGCCAGTATCCACTTGATTTCTGTGAATAGTGCCGCTTTCACATAATCGTCGATAGGTCCTAAGACAGAACCGTGGGGAAGCCGGCGATCATGAAATATTTGATATTCTCTTCGAGCTCCAGCACATTGCCGTCAGCAAAACCATAACAGTACATGATGTCGGCATATTCTTTATTAGAATATGACGCCATTTTAACTTCGACGCACAAAAACAGTAACAATGAACAGTCGGTAACAGATAATGGTAACAGCAATAATAGCATTAACGATAACGACTGAAAACAATAACAAATGAATTAACGCGATGAGAGTTTATTAGAAGCAAGTTTAAACTCGTGCTTGCGCAGTGATCGTAGAAACTAACCATTTCGGTTTATACAAAGGTACTCTGTGAAACTAACTAACGAGCGTCGCTACGACTCAATTTAACTTTACGAAAAACTACGATATGAATATAGCTGTTGTAGACGGAGTGAAGTCAGCTGAATTCAAATATATTTCATGTTTTCATGACTGGAGTAGTTAGTAAACAAAACCTCAATTCACCACAACTATTTACGTAGCCTAAAATAATTAAGTTAATATAACCAAAGAACCGCTGTGTGCATAGAATTATTGCGGTGTTATTATTCTAAGCATTTACACTGAAAAATGCCAAACTACTATCATAGGTACACAGCTTGTTATTAATAAAAAAAAGTTTAACTATAACTATTGTTACATAATTTCTATTATGAATCGTTATAAGTAATAATTGTATAATTTATCTTTTTTGTTTTATATTATTATTTTTTAATTATCAAATATAAAATAGATTAAAAGTCATTGTATTGTCATAATAATTATCATAGATAATTTTCTCAGTTTATTTCTAATTTAGAATTTGAGATACAATACATATTTACATAGAATATTATATAAGTAATTTCATCTTCTAAACATTTCTAATTAATTCACTCATCAGTAATATTTATAACAGTGTTTTACTTATTTTCATATTAAAAAAGTATTTGGATTGTATAATTCTTACACATTCTAACTGTTGTACTAAGTTCAGTTTAAATAGGTAGTAGGGATAGGCTACTACTATTGTGCGATATTATAAAAACATAAAAACTATTGCAATAATTATTAAATGCAATTCGTTTTGTGAACACTAGTAAAGCAAACAAGTAATCAAGTGTGTTATTACCATTGAGTTATACAAGACTAGAGGAGCAAACCACATTACCGCGCGTCGAAAAATGTTAAGCCACTATCTAACCGCGAGGACATAGCTTTGAAACCACTAAACCTTTTTAAGTAAACATATATCTGTCTCACTTACACAAGTCGCGAAAACAATACCGTCGCTAAGATTAGATAAAGATAGACACACAAACATGCAGTGACGGGTTGGTATTGCCTACTATATGAAATTTTACCCAAAAATAAGCAATAAAAAGGAGTTTTTTTAAGCTGCAGTTATTTGTTTTTATTTTAAATATGTATCTTTGCTTATCCGATGAATAGAAGTATAACTAATGAAATGAAAGATATTTTTTTTTCGAAGTATCTTTTATTGTACTCATAAATCAAACAAAAAAATAAATCAAGTAAAAATATTGATTTTAAGTTTCTTATCAAGAAGATCTGAGTTTGAAATATGCATCAACTGTGAAAGCATCGGCGAGTCTTTGTCTCCTAAATTTGGTCTCATGACAAGAATTAAGACATTAAGATAATACTAAATGGTGTTAATCTGTCGTACTAATCCGCTTAAATAAACACGACCGCCATCGCTTTTTCGTCCTAGTTTGTCTTGATCCCGGAAGTGCTTAGAACTAATGAGGGTAGATTTCGAACATACCGCGAAATTCAGGCAACTTTAGACATTGGCATGAGTCAAATACAAATAATCTTACATGAACAATTAGGTGTAAAAAAGTTGTTTTCCCGATGGATACCGCATTCGCTCTGTGAAGAGCAAAAAGCGGCTCGCGTTACTTGGTGCGTCAGAACTCTCGAAAGATTCCACGCAGGATCCTCAAATGCTGTATACAACATCGTATCAGGTGACGAATCCTGGATATACGCGTACGAAACCGAAAAAAAAAACCAGTCACGAGTTTGGGTGTTCGAAAATGAGTTAAAGGCAACAAAAATTGTTCGTTCACGGAGTGTTGAAAAAAAATGGTGGCCACGTTTGTCTCCAAAACCGGCCATGTTACGACTATTCCTCTTGAGGGGCAAAGAACGGTTAATGCAGAATGGTATGCTAGCATTTGTTTGCCACAGGTCGTTTCTGAACTTCGTAAAGAGAACTGCAACCGCCGCATCATCCTTCATCACGACAATGCGAGTTCTCACGCCGCACACAGAACAAAAGAGTTTTTAAAGCAAGAAAACATAGAATTATTAGACCATCCGCCGTACAGCCCCGACCTAAGCCCTAATGATTTTTATACTTTCCCTAAAATAAAGAATAAATTGCGTGGACAGAGATTTTCATCACATGAAAAAGCTGTGGACGCCTACAAAACGGCCATTTTGGAGACCCCAACTTCCGAACGGTATGGTTGCTTCAATGATTGGTTCCATCGTATGGAAAAATGTGTCAAATTTCGCGGACAATACTTCGAAAAGCAATAAATACATTTTTAAATAGTAATGTTGTGTCACTTCCTTGATTCCCGAAATTTTCAGTGCCGCCCTCGTATGATAAAACCGCGCATGCGCGGTAAGATTGTTTACGGCGCATGCGCAACGACATAGAGTAGTGCACAGTTTTTGTTCCGTTTCGAAATTACGAATAGTTGGCCACACACATACGGAATTCCGTTTTGCCCGCAAAATATCGAACGGAAAACTACCGTACGTGTGTGGGGGTCATAGATTTTATTTGGACTTGCTGCGTTCGGGATTCCGAATCGGAATATCGAAACGGAATTTCGTATGTATGTAGCCGGCCCATATACTCTTTGGGCCGGCCTTAGGCGCTTGACAGGTTAATCATGAGATCTACTAACTTGCATTTTACGAATTTTTGTATAAAATCTAAACATAAGTGGCTTTATAAATAATAATTAGCATAGGTAACTAGCACAAACTAATAATAAGCGCTAGGGTAATTAGTAACTACATATAATTTTGTAAATATTGTAAAGACCTTTGATCTGTGATCAGTGATAATTTCATCTGTAATTAAATGTGGTCTTAGCTTAGATTACATATTTGCTAATACGTGTTAAATTAAATTATTTCTTATAAATTATGGCAAAGTCTATAGTGACTGACTTAATTCAAATTTTTAAAAGCAGTATTAATGCAGTGGTGCCAGGAAATTTGGTAAAGAATTGTCTTAAATACTGCTCATCTACACATCGGCTGCAACTTTGTGGTGAAAAGTATGATTTAATTAATAAAAATGTTTACATAGTTGGAACTGGAAAAGCTGCTCGGAATATGGCTTATGAAGTAGAAAAAGTATTAGGCTCTAAAATCAAAGAAGGGATAATAAGTATTCCCAAAGGAAACTATGATCATACTACAATAAATACAAATATGTTTTATTATGAAGGTGCCAAAAATAATTTGCCAGATAAGGATGCAATGAATACAGCTGAAAAAGTAGAACATCTCGTCTCAAACTTAGGTAAAGATGACTTTCTTTTAGTTTTGATATCTGGAGGTGGTTCAGCATTATTACCATTACCGAGGCATCCAATAAGTCTTGATGAAAAAACAATGTTAATAAAGAAACTGGCACACTCGGGGGCAGATATCAAGGAATTAAATACTGTGAGGAAAAGAATATCTGGACTGAAAGGCGGTCAATTGGCTATAAAAGGCAAAAATGCACAAATTGTAGCTTTAATTCTGTCTGATATAATTGGAGATCCCTTAGACTTAATTGCAAGTGGTCCTACAGTAAAAAATGAAGATAACCCTTTACAAGCGGTAGACATTATTAAAAAGTATAACTTATATGAAAATCTTCCACATTCAATAGTTACTGTTTTAAATGAAATTAATAGTGTTGAAACATTTCCAAAGGACACAGTTCAAAATTTTATAATAGGTTCTAATAAACTTAGTACTGAGGCAGCATATTATAAAGCAATGGAATTGAATTATATGCCAATTGAGCTTTCAAATATTGTAAATGGTAATGTTAAATTGATAGCACAAAATTATGTTCAGTTAACCACATCATTTTGCAACTTTTTAAATGGAAAAATTAACAAATTAACATTGAAAGATATTGTGAATAAATTAGACATACCAGGACTTAGTCCTAATTTTGTGGATTCCATTGATGATTCTACTTGTTTTAAAGAAAAAGGTTATTGTTTGATATTTGGAGGAGAAATTAATGTTGAAGTGAAAGGGACAGGTAAAGGTGGAAGAAATCAGCAGCTAGCTTTAGAATTTTCTAATTGTATACATGACATAAAAGATGAAATAAATAATTTTGATGTTTATTTTCTAAGTGCTGGTACTGATGGTATTGATGGGCCAACTGAAGCTGCTGGTGCAATTGGGTATAGTGACTTGATTTCAGACTCCAAAAAGGAATGTCTAGATGTAAATTTATATCTTAACAATAATGATTCATATAACTTCTACAGGAAATTCAAGGATGGTTCTTTCCACATAATTACTGGACATACAAACACAAATGTAATGGATATACATTTAATTATAATAAAAAAATGTAAATAGTTCATAATAACATACTTATTAATATTTTTTGACAATAATTATTTTTTTTAAATTTAGGTACTATAAAGATGGTTTAAGAAATAAGGAGAGTTTATTTGTTTCTTCTTTGTCCTTTTTTAACTGTGCTGAAGCTAATACAGCTTTCTTACATAGTCCTGCAAATTTATCTTTTCGCTTTTTGTTGTTTTTTATAACTTTTGGTTCAGTTCTGATAGTATTGGGTAGATTATTGTGCTTATTACTTAGTGAAAATACTTCTTTTGATTTACTATATATATTTAATTGCATATTGTTTATCTGGCCTGTTTGATGCAATTTTGTTACCACGGGTGTATTTTTCAAAGGTTTACATTGCGTTGCCAATGAAGGTGTTTCCTGTTTTATCACTTTTTTCTCTTTCTTAAGTTTTAAGACTGGTGCCTCACTACAGTGTTTACAGAATGTGCAGATATGTTCCTATAAAATAATTCAGATTTTTTTAGCTATGTATGAACTAACACTAATTTACAAATTTAAAAATCATTAAGTTACAAATTTTGACTTACAAGTTTATTACTCTGTGATAAATTCATACAATCTTTTTTCTGCTTAATCCGTCTCTTTCGTCTTTTGCTGAGTTTAAGGGGTCTAACCTAAAAATAAACAATTATAAACATTTTGGTTTTAAAAAGTAAAATGGGTTTTAAATATGTTATACTTTTATTTCTGTATGTTTGTTCCACTCTAGGCAGCAGTATGAGCATCTGCTTTTATTAGAAAATTGTTGTTGTGGCAACCCATATCCTCTTGTAATTTCCTTGCATCGCATCCTAAAAAGAAAAAAATTTAAACAAAAACTCATAATCAAAATATACTTATGGTGATGCTAAACTGATAATCCAGTAATACTCTTACAAATAATAACTTCTTAAGATTTGTGTATGAACATTATTAGCTGCAACTGGCGCTAAAACTGTAGAAGCCTTGAATAAGAACCCTATTTGCTTTTCGGTCATGTTGTCTTGAATTCTTAATTACAAATATAGCTAGGAGCTAGAAAATTCCATAAAGTTCCGAGTATAATTCATAATCACTAGGTATATAAAAAGTACTCTGTGATCTAATCAGTGCTAATCAGTTATAAGTTTCGATTTCGTTCGTGGTTATGTCAAATGTCTTTTTTTTTTTTGGAGTTTATGGCCTGGTACTGGTATCTAGACCTTTAGGCCAATATGTCAAAAGTCATTTTTTTTTGGAGTTTATGGCCTGGTATCTAGACCTTTAGGCCAAGTCTTAAGTATTTTTATTCGGTTTATTGTAATTTCCCCACTCCTTCATAGTATACTGCTTCACAATATGTTGATGCGTCACATTGTGCAGTTCTTGGGAGATTTTGGCGGCAACTTGATCCAGCAGACAGCTGATAGTTGGCGATGGTATCTAAAGGTGCCTATGCAAACAAACAGCTTATCTTGAGAATCCATCACCATCAGAGCACTTGTTTCACTGTTTCCACTAATAGTTCACATGCGTAGACACTTAATACACAAAATCGCAACACTTTTACATATCAAAGTCCACTTCAAACCATTATTTAAACAATAATACAGGAGCAGCAAACCGCCGCCGGTCAATTTCCCGCCAAAACCCTGTCCAAAACCTGTCAAAAGTCATTGTCACACCAATGTGACCAATTTTTTCTCTGCGATTTTACTAAATTTATCGCCAAATCCTATTAAAATGTACTAAGCATATTTTAAAAAATCAACTAAGTTCCTACCAGACAGCATATCTTTCACATAAATAAAAAGTTAGACTATGCAAACAAAATTGGTTTATTTGTTAAAAATTACGATTTGGATTAATACTTATATGTCGGAGCGTCTATAAAATACCGGTTGGATAGAGGGGGAATTGTGGGTATATCGAGAAATCCCAACTTGTTTGTGCAGTATAAAGTTCACTGTAGGCGCCGTGCGCGAGAGATTCTACTCAAGTCATTCTACTAGTGCTAGAATAGTGTTTTTTTTTTTATAGGATAGGGTGACAAACGAGCACACAGTCCACCTGATGGTAAGTGGTTGCTGTGGCCCATAGACATCTACATCTATCTTCGATTACGAATCAAAATGCAGATGCGCTGTCACCAGTGAGGGCAAAGATGGAAAGCCTCGTTTCCAGTAAAAAGGGTCTCCGGTTCTCTACACTCACCATACGAAACACAGCAGCGTTAAGCAGCTATTTTATGCTGGTATTCTGTGAGAGCGTGGTCCTTCCATGGTCGAGCCGACCCATTCGTGCTACAATCATAATATAGCTGCAGCATGGCTCTACCACGTATAAATGTCGTGGTTCTGTTCGCTGTTGTTATTCTCTTAGTGCAGGCAAGGAGGATTGGTGTTACACTGAGGTAAGTAGTGTTGCTGTTGGTTTGCATACTTTGGTGTTATCATGTAATTACGTACATCACCATACACTGGTGTGTGATCGCGGCGGGGACGAGTTACGGTGTAGTCGAACTGTAATTTCACTATGCTGTTTCACTCACTTTGAATGTATAATACGTTACGTTGTCTTATTACTGATAATGATTAATTGCGTAAGCAAGAGAGCAAGTTGAACATCCGCTCTCACACTTTTATTATTTTTTATAATCAACGCTATCCTAATGTATCTCCGAGATCAGAAGTATCTTCTAGGAAGTAGGATCTTCTGCTGAATGTCCGACATCAGAAATGAATAAAGTCCCTTTGGTCACCCGTGTTTAGTCTTCGAATAGTGTGATAGTTATTACCTTTGTGAAAGACTTCGCGTTGATGACTTTGATTTTATTAAATGTCGAAATAAAATTTGCTGTCCTATTTACGACATTGACGTACCATTAAGGTGTAGAGTAAAAGTTTAAAGTGAAATGTTTTAAGCCAAAAGTTAAATCCTTTTGTTAAATTTATATTCAAGTAGTATTAAGGTACCCGCAAGCACATTTATTATTCCTTAACGTACCTAAATATGTTAACAAATGTCGAAAGAAACGTTGGAGGTATTTTAAAATGAGTTATAGTTTTGCATTTAGTGGAATTTTAAACTGTTCGAGTTATGTTATAATTTGATAGTTTATGCGAAGTATTATTTACATGTGGAACATTTTAAAGTTCAAAATGTTTAAACGATATACTGAAAAAAAAAATGTGTTTAACTATAACGTGCTATGAATTAAAAACGCTAAGTAGTATTTTATATTCTAATGTGTCGACAAGTGTTAAATTTAGTCAGAGTGTTATGTGGTCGACAAAATTGGGATTTAGGTCGGCCACATACATACGGAATTCCGTTTCATGATTCCGTTTCGGAATCCCGAATCGGGATTTCGTGAATACATCACACACATACGTTTCTTTTCGTTCGGAATAACTAAAAGATTTTGTAATTGCGATTCCATTGTGTGCATCCCCTTATCACCCTAAGCTTGCAATATAGTCAATATTATTGTTGCGCGCCACTATTAATGTCGTGTACATGGCAACACTAGTTACACTAGCGCCCTCTAGTTTCGAGTAGCAGAACTAGGATAGTCAAGATCCTTCCAGAATATTTCGGGACCGATATTATGTACTCGAACATTCTAGATGTCGCTACAGTAGAAGGTTCTGGAAACTATCTGAGGCCCTATATAAAGCCAGTATAGACCACGACCGAGGCAGTATTGAATTGGCGATACAAGAGAATACTTAGAAGCGAAATAACTGCGAACTAAAGTGATTGTGTTTTTTTTATTGTAGGGGACAATCACGATAAAGTATTATTTGCTGACGATACCTCTTTAATTTTCAAACTCAAACGACAGTTAATTAATGATGACGATGTAAATAATGCTCTATCGAAATTGGTACATTGGTTTAATGCCAACAATATGCTCTTGAACGGCAATAAGACAAAGTGTATTAAATTTACAATACCTAATCTAAAACATTCGAATACCAATGTGCTGTTAAATGGGGAGGAGTTGAGTCTTGTGGATACCACTGTTTTTCCTGGTATTACTATTGACATAAGGATGTGCATACTTTAAATACTAGGAACAAACATAAGCTTGTAATGCCAGTTACTAGACTCCACAGAATCAGTAATTCATTTATGGGGCAATGTATACGCTTTTACAACAAAATCCCAGAACATATTCAAAGGTTGTTAATAAACAAGTTTAAAACTTTTATTAAAGAAAAACTGTACAAAAAGGGTTATTATAATATCAAGAAATACATGAATGAAAATAACCCCTGGGAATATGGTTGTTCACGCACCTAGTTGCCCAAACTAAGGTCTACCAGACAGGGGCCCATCCAGCTGTTAGGTTCGACGAACAACTAAGTGTGGGGCTCAAAATGGTTTATGGAAAATGTTCTATCCTACTATACTTTAAGGGGAAGGCTAGTCGAATAGAGAGTTCTTACCTGTATCTGAGGCGACGACTGTCTCAAGGTTCGGTCAGGTCGGAGGTGTGTATGTGTTGCGTGTAGTGGTGTTTTTAGTGGTGTGGATTGTGATTGACCTGACGGGACCATTGAAGTCGGCAGCAGCCCGGACTTCGGCACCACTCCAAATTGTGGTAATCTCCAGCGGCGTCACCCACGGTCAATTTCTTTCTTCTTCGCTAGTTCAGTCTATTAACTTTATCGTACAATTAACTAACTTCAAGACGCAACTAAATCCCGTTACTTATAAAACGTAACACGCGGCACAACTTGTAGGTCAAAGTTCACCTTCGCTCACTCCGCAACAAATTGTTTCGAAATCAATCGCGACCTTTAAGGCGTTTAACGCAACTGTACAATTAAACACTAACTTCTCAATAATTAGACAACCTAGAAGCTAATGTTCTAGACTACACGATTAGTCTTCGCGGCACAAATTCGTTAAAAAAATTCGTTGTCACGCAGCTCGAATCAAATCACGGTAAGCAATCAACCGGCAGTTCCTAACAATGAATGTCTCGACACGTCTCGTTCAACCCGACTTTGAAAGGAATGCGAGCACGCGCGGAGGGGCGGAGGTGACCTTGCTACGGCGCTATGCGCTCCGAGCGCGCGTTATGAATTCAATTTTCAACCGGTTAATATTTTGCCTAAACAAACCCCCGCCCCGTACATAAGGACTTATGTCCGTGAGTAGATTGGCAAACGGGATAGGGTCGTGACGGCCCGTTGCAAGACCGAATCTCCAACTAAAACCTCGGCCACCCTAGGCACCCCATCCGATCCATATGACAACCTAACAATGCGCGCACGGCGCCAATACAAAGGCAAGGCGTTAGGTTCTTTAACTAACACGAGGTCTCCAACCCGAGCAGGATCCGTCTTGTCAGAACACTTAATGCGCCGCTGCAAAAGATGTAGGTACTCCAGAGAACATCCGTGCCAAAAACTCTGAGTCATCTGTTGCAGCAGGTCAAATCTTCCCTGAAGGGGTACTCGGGTAGGGCGTTAATCGGCTGGCCAATCAGGAAGTGTCCCGGGGTTAGAACCTCCAAATCATTCGGATCGGGCGACAGGGGACAGAGGGACCGAGAGTTGAGTACAGCCTCAATTTTACAAAATACAGTGGCAAGCTCCTCAAATGTCAAAATAGTTTCGCCAATAACGCGACGGAGATGCGTTTTTGCAACCTTAACCACCACCTCAAATATACCGCCCTAGTGTGAGCAAGCCGGAGGATCGAATTTCCACTGGATGTCGCAATACCACACACATACCCGAAGACCGCGACGCGATAGGAAGCGGCCCAGCGTGGCCACAAAGGCTTCAGTGCTGAGGACACTTACCAGTTCTAAGTTAACGGCCTTAGTGGAGAGGCACACGAAAACGCACAGGTAGGCCTTATGTGAACGCGCGTTATGAAGGTTGGAGGACTTGACGAAGAAGGGGCCAGCAAAGTCGGTTCCGACTCCAGCAAATGGTTGGATGGCCCTGACGCGGTCGGGTAGTAAGTCACCCATCATAGGCTGCGCTACAGTGGCCTT